TACTAATATTAAAAGAACTGCCAAAAGAACAGAGACTGGGTCGGTCTTGTTCACCACAACTTCACAGCCTTATTGCTGTGCCTTGTACATAGGAGCTAAACAAAAACTTTATGGTAACTAATAAAGTGTGCTAATATGAATATGAATTAATGAACAAACAGGGTGCTAATATGAATATGAATTAATGAACAAACAGGGTGACTTCAACTGTGCTAATATGAATATGAATTAATGAACAAACAGGGTGACTTTCATTTCAATAGATTAATTTTACTCCACCCTTCCCAAATAATTCTCATTGACCTCTAGTTTGAAATACACTCACCTGTCTTTTTTCTAATTTCCTTTCCTCCTTTCTTCCCTTACTTGCTCTCTCATCCCTTATTTTTTCTTCTTCCCAGCCATTTTTTCCCTAGTTTCTGCAACATTATTTACTCTATCCCATTCTTTTTCCTCTCCGAGGATTTGATTTCCTTTAATACAGTGGATTCACAGCAGCATCCTCTCCATTCATTTCCCTGCCTCTTTTCTTATCTTAACCACAGCTGCTAGAATTGCCTCTTTTCCCTTAATACCCTTTCACCATCTCATTTCCCTTGCCAAGAACCATTTGCTCACCCAATTAGGTAAATGCAAAGACTCACCTCTCTTTCCTAAGGCCTATTTTTGTATTCAGTTTCATACTATCACTGCAGTCATTTAGCCTTGCAGTCTTCACAATTTCTTAACAATCTAGGTTAAATTCACCTAAGCCGTCTTCAGCTTTCAGAAGATGACCAGAAGAAATCCCTGAGTAACAGACATTTTCCCTCTTTACTATCAGTCTACAAAATAAAACTTTATTAACCTAGAAGTCCTTACTAAAGAAAATGTGATATCGAAGAAGCAGAATCGAGCCTTTCCCTCTCTAAGGAAGAGTTTTGCACTGAATAATACTGTGAATAAGATGACGTGGGAATGTTCAACCTATGGGAGAACACTACTGACATAAACATTTGCACATGAATAACAAGTTGCCAATTATAATTCTGTCCAAGTACTTTAGTAAACTTTAAAGGATGTATAATCTCTAAACATTGACAATTCTTTTATTTATTTATTTATTTATTTTTGGAATTTAGCTGTTTGGAAATCTGATTGTATCTTCCCACAGGAATCCTAATAAAATATGGTTTATGTTCCCAGCTCAATCCACAAAAGCCTATTCCTAATGCACCAAAAATTTTTCTTATTGTACAATCTAAACAGTATCAGTAATACTGTCTTAATGGAAAATCTGTAAACTTGGATTTTGGATTTTAGAAATGCATCTCTCACAATGCTACCCACTCAGTGGAAATATGGATTTTCAGTGGACTAAGTAGTCCAGCTAAGGAGTTATCTCTGGGTGACATAGTTACGACTCAGGGAGCAGGTGAGAAACTTGGTTTGAGGACTAGTAAAGGGAATTTGTTTGGAGAAATGTTGGTTAGGTAGCAAACTTTGTTCTTCCTTTTTCTTCCTTAACTAGTTGCAAAAAGAGATGAGAAGAGAGGGTAATAGAAAATTTTGCAATATTCATGCTCTTCCCTTTTCCCACAGTTAACAATATGTGCTAAGAAGCCATAGCCCCAATATGGGATAAGGGAGGAGCAGGATAAAGAGGGAAGAAATGTGGCATATTAGTCGCATTGAAATATATATTTATATTTATATAAATATATATTTCAATAAATAAATATAAATATATATATTTATCTCACAAAATATATATATATCTCACAAAAATTAGTAATGAAGAATTTTAGCTAAGAAATATTATAAAATTAGGGAATTTAAAGAAGTAGATATTTCAAGAAAAAAGTGGATATCATTTTAAGTCAATGTGAATGTGAATAGAATCATTTTTAGTAAGCCAAAAAACAGAACATGAACATTTTAAGAGAAATTTAATCAAAGAAAACTTTCAACCATTTAAAAACTCATAAAAATTTAGGTATTAAATGTACAATCCTTGCTTATTTGCTGTACATACATTATACTATGTGTTAAATAGATTTAATGTATAGTTTATATAAATTTACTCAAGGAAAAAGTGGATTCACGGTAATATGGTAATGTATGATATAATTGTATAAAATACTATAACTGCTGCACTTATTGATAAACACATTCACATTTCTCAGTGTTCATATTTTTAGATACATAAAAATTTATTCTTGAAGGTAAAGGCCTATTTAATTTCTAATTTTTACAGAAGAAATTTCCCAAAAGTAGATCAGAGGCTAGGAAAGTAATACATTATAGTAGGTGGCAGGGAAAATAAAAATACAGATGGAAAGGAGCCTTTATATCAAAATACATCTATAATTCATAAAAATCTCAGTGCATAATTAATAATCATTAAGCACTAAATGAAAAACCCCATTAAGAATTATTTAATTTAAAATCTAAAATTGGAAGTTTCCTTTGAAAAATGTTATGATGATGATGATGTAGAGTTCAGACATAGGTCAGAGTTTTCCTTTGGGGGCATACCAACAAAACTCTCTGCCTACCTTTCATGCCTTAGAAAGACAATGTGAGTTATTTCCTAGCCTTGCAATTCCCCTCATGCCTATTCTTCCTGAATCCATGGCTTATCCTTTTGCTGTGACAAGAGGGAGACACTTTGAACAAAATGATCATGGGATTTGAGTGTCCACTAAAGTCAAACAGATAGCCAAGATGAAGGAAAGCCAGAGCAGGTCACCATTTTAAAATGCCAATTCTATCCTCCTTGAAAGGATCCAAAATTTTCAAGTACAGGCAGTTAGACAGACATTACTTTTTTAAGTGTCATGATATATTTTCAGATCTTGGTGACAGTGATCTGTGACATTCTGCCCATTCTTGGCTTGCGATGCTGGTTCGTCATCTTTCTTCTGCCCGTGAACTGTGGCTACAAACCAAGATTCATGAACATATTCTTCTTACAGTTATTTTCTTTAACATCTCATTAACTAATATGCTTTCAATGCTCTCTTTTTGTCCAATTCTCTAAGTCCTTACATCCATATCTGAATTTTCCTCTCTTTGTTTTGTCTATAAGGACTCTTGCACTTGGACGTCATCACAGATCTAGGTGCCAACCCTCATCCCTGCCTCCCTCCAAGGCAGTGTGAATACAGGTCCCACACATCCCTACATCCCTATGGCTTCCTGCATTCCTCTAGCAGCTGGAGCACACTGGACCTCCTGGGGCAGGCCAGAAGTGTCGAGGAGTTAACACCCAGCCACAATTCTCAATAATGAAGGAAGGAAAATTAGTGGATAAATAGATCCATTTCCCCGCCTTTCAGTGGGCAATTCTGAGACAAGCTCTATAAGTCTCTCACCACTTCCTCAGGAATACATCTGTTTTCTGGCCATCTTGCCTTTCCTGTATCATTTCCTCACTCCCTCACAATGTTTTCTGGGATTGTCTCCCAAAGAAATTACTTATACCCAAATCCTTATCTAAAAGACTGCTTTAGGGTAGGCAGAGGTGATCCAGGCTAAGACAGAGGTCCTATTAATACTTAAAATATGTTACAGATTATAATAATCACAGAACCAGCATTCCAACTTCGTTTATCCTGTCATCTCTCCTTTTAGTCTTCTCTTGAGAGCTGAGTGCTACAGGGGTAGGAGGTTTTTACAGACATATTTGACTTCTGCCTCTGTTTTATGGTGTCACTCCAGATGAGTCATGTATCTCTTCTGATTCTGAGTGTGTGTGTGTGTGTGTGCGTTATGTGTGTGTGTGTATAAAATAGTGCTTTCCAGGGCTGTTGTAAGCATTAGGTAAAATATAGCATGCAAAGCACCTTTTACTTTGATTTCATCTCATAATATAGCAGTTCCAAATTTAGGAAACAAGCTACAATTTTCTTTTGCAGGGTTTTTTTTCCCCTCTGATAATTGAGCCAACTTAGAAAATAAGAATGGAAATCACAAATAATAAGAGTATCCTCTGATATGAATATAAATTAATTATACATCAAACATTTTCTCATGAACATGCTATGGAAAGGACTGTTCTACTGAAGTATATAGTGCTTTTTTGTTTTGTTAGATAGCCTTAGCCACTGAGCTCATAAAAACTATAAGTAATATTCTCATGATCTAGTATAAGAATTAGCTCCCAATAAACAATTTGAACATTGACTAGCAAAAATATCATGAAAATTGTTTATTTACAAAATAATCTAGGGCACAAATAGCATTTGGTATATCAAGGGGAAAGAGGAACTCAATAAATAGCTATGTTATTTACAGGTATTATGGTGTTAAAGCTAAAACATTAATAATGGCTTTCCTTCTCCATTGTTTCCTACAGACCACAATCAGTATTAGTATTGAGCTTGTCGTTTTTTACTGACTCTTCATTTCTGACAACTTTCTTCTTTTATACTTTCATCTTCCTATGCATTCATCCCCTTTCTAAAATTTCCTCATTTTCTTCAATATGATTTATAGTTCTGAAGATTTTTCTGTTGACTGCATTCACATTTAATTATAAATCATGTCATCAGCAGTTGGTTTATATTGAAAATGTAGATCAAATTCAATATCTGTCTGTAATGAATCAAAAGTAGCTGGTATGATCACCGTCTAAATAATTAGAGTCTGTGTGGATTTACAGCAACAATATTAGTACATGATTAATCAGTACCTAATGCAAACCAGTTCATACCCACATCTACTTAGTCATTTTATCTTATATTAAAGTCCTGTGGCACTGTTTCAGATCAGTTAAGAGTTTTACTTTGTATGATAGTACATTGTTAAACTTGCCATCTGGCCCAACAGCTGATGTGGCTCACACAACCCTGGAGAGGCCCCAGAGCTTTACTCCTGGGAAATATTTAGTCTACTGTGTGGTGTCATGATTACCGGTTCATAGCTTTTCTATAGTCTTTGGAAAGAATTGCAGAAAAATCTCCTCACTGAGTAAATTCTAAATTGAAATCAATTTGTTAGGAAAAGAATTCACTTACCTGAGGACCAGGTTGACCCTGAAATTGAAAAGAAAAAAGGAAAACAATTACAGAATTGTCATTGTAAGTGAATAAGTGAATAGTTTCACTAGCAAAACTAGTTCTGAAAATCTTTACAAAATGTTTTTGAAGATATTAGTACCTAACTACTGACAAATTTTACTTTGTGGTTTTAAACAATATCATATTTTTATTCTATGATACTTATCTAAAATCTTGCTATTATGGTCTATTATATGCCAACTCCAAAATGACTCAAGGGCTTTTAGTATGCTCTAGGGTTAAACTGGAGAAAAAGAAGGTAAAAGGTGAACTACATTGTTGTAATCAATGGATTACTTAAACAGAAGGCCTTTTAGCACAGACTATAACTATGAGCTACATATCAAAGAGCACAATGACAAGAAAAAAAGAGGCAGATATTTTTAGTTTTAGAATTCCCTGAGTCTTTGGATTTCTCATTGTTTCAATAATACTTTAAGTCAATTTTAAAAATTAACACCTGTCTTTTGCTCTGTACAATCCAACCAAAGGCCATTTAAAAAGAATATGAGAAGTCTTGGTCTCAATTAAAGTGCATCATAATTCCCTATTCAGTCAATAGATCATGGAAACCACTGGACAATCTAATTCAGTTTGAATGTCACTTTCTTGTTTAAGCTGAGAAAAATTCCAAAGCAGCAGAACTGTAAATGCTTCTTAAGGAAAATCACCTGTAAATAAAAGTATTGATTACACATCACCTTCTTAAAACCTCTAATTGAGTTTCATATAAGATGAGATGAAATAAAAAGTGTACACCAAGTTAGGGAATCTTTAAAAATAAATTAATAATGTACAATCTCATTATACCAGCTGTATGTCACTGGGTATCAATACAGAAAAGCACAGAACTAGTACAACTCCCAGAGAATACTCTCCTCCCTCCTCTCCCTCTTTCTCTCTTTCCTTCTTTCTCAGCCTCTCTCCAGGCTTACAACTTCTCTAGGTAATTGTTTTCTAACTAACCAGGAATAGAAGAGATGATTTTTAAGAGTTTTGTCTGAAAATATCTTAAGTCAGGTTTTATCTAATCAAACCAGCAAAGGAAGCAAAACCAGTTACTGTGGATGTTTTTCACACCACTTGTATACTCTAGTAGTGAAGAGGGAGAAATGAATAACATTAATTCCTTTCCAAGTACCAGGCACTTTTGGACATGTTAGTCCGTTTATTCCTTATGACTGCTCTGCATTTTACAAATGAAGAAACTGAGGCTCATAGAAATCAACTAACACTCACACAGCTTAGAGGTGGAAAAGCCAGATTTTAAACCCAAATCTGATCCCAATGTTCGAGCATTTTCCACCGGGTCATTCTGCCTTTCACTGAAGTTTAAATTTGCAGTTGTATGCAGACTTACTCAGATCAACAATGGTATTGGAGCAGCCTTCAGCTGAGTGGATGCTCTAAACTTCCCTATGGCCCCTGGATTGCAAGCAACAGTGTGAATCTCTGCTTGGAGATGTAGACCTAGGACCAGCAGGTACCCAGCCTGTTAACTGATATCTGTACACAAACCAGGTCAGCTAAGCTTCTTGAGGGTAACAGACAATCCTAAAATCAGGGCTAAACATGGGGAACCTACAAAGGTAGAGCTCTCCACCTACATGTAAATGCAGATCTTCCCAGATCCATGTAATGGACAAGACTGCAATACATGCTCACTCCCACTGACACTCTGTCTCTCTCTGGATGCTTTAAACTCTGTCCTTTCTGAAGTTTTCTTGGTGAAACCCAAAGGTAGGATTGTCTAAAATCAGAAATACTTTTTACCAAAGAATAGAGTTAAGCATCATTGCTGAGATCTTTTTATTCCTACAATTGTTCTGCAGATCACAGCTTTCCTGTCTATCTTTAAAATGTGGTATCCCTACCATTACACTGAACAAATGATTTTAGTGCAATGTCTGCATACATTTGTATGTTATTCTAGACAAATATACATTATGTTCTGGATTTATGTTAGTGGTAGTGAAAACAAACAATAAACAACAGTAAAATTAAAAAGTTGACTCTTATGTAGGCGTTAACAATTATATAGTACCAGGAAACTCAGACTACTATAATGTATGATATGAATTTCAAATATCTGTGGTGTGCATGATTGTGTGTGTGTGTAGGGTGGGGAACATGAAAAGGAGAGATGGAAGGGGGTTGATAGAGAGGCTTCTCCCCCAAATTATGCATATAACATGAAAAATTTGATAACTATCCCTAAAACATGTATTACACAATGCAAACCTTACACAAGATTCCAGGACTGCTTATGCCAAGTCTTCTTAGTGTGATGTAACAGATATTCCCTAGCAGACACCTAGAATACCTGAAAGGAAACAGTCTAATGGCTGTAGTCTTGTAGTCATCGCAATAGAGCTTTCTGGATAAATGAGGAAAGTGATCAGAGGACCTATTTCAGTGGGCGTGGCAGTGTCAGCTTCCTCTATAGCAGTGTCAGCTCCTATATGGGAACATAGAGGGAGACTGGACAAAAGCCCAAAAGTGAAGAGCATCTCAGAAACTTCCTGGTGATGGAGGACACCGGACATGAAGACTTCTTCATAGACAAATAACCAAAAGAAATATTTTGGGATTTCTTTAGCTGCTTCTGAGTAGTTCATTGAGAAATCCAAGTATTGTCATTCATACGTGAGTATCTTTCTAGTCTATTCTAATTTACAGGTAGTGAACATTATTAGTAGTCAACTGTGAAAGTCAAATTCTTTTGGTTTTCTAAAATACACCTTTAATAAATAGTTACAAAATGTGACTAAAGCTTACAAAATACAACTTAAGTTGAATTTTTAAAAGTGGAGTTCCTGAAAAGGACGTTTTTCCTAAGCAAATCACCAAATGGTTTCTAGAAATAAAAACTCAAATTGGCTATAGTCAAGAGCCATTCCAAGGGTTAAATCATAGAAATACTGAGGTTTGAAAAGTAGATATAAAGGTGGAGAATGCTCAATGCTGTGAGTCACTGATTTACTGTATGTCAACAGCTCGATGCAATGCCCTCCAGGCAGCTAAGGCACCAGCGTGAAGAAAACGAAACAGCAGGAGGAGTGACTTTAAAAAGTGGTAATCAGAACAGCATGGTGGAAAACAATCAGCCAGTAGCTGAGGCTTGACAGAAAAGTGTTCAAAGCGAGTTGAAAGTTTTGTGGGGCAAATAAACCACAATGGAGCATGATAAATGAGATGACATATCACTTCAGTATGTATTGTTACTTTAGGCAATTAAAGAGCAATATTAACCATTCTTGGTGAGGCTGTTATCACAATTATGGCTGCCAGAAAGTGCTACCATCCCTCTCTAAATCAACAAAGTCATTTAGATTTCTGACTGAGGTAATTAGTTTCACTACATGCTATTTTTTTATGGATGGTAAATCTGTGTCACTCCTTTTCAGATGGGAAAAATGCCGTTTTTCCATTAACACATGCACAGCTAAGCACACAATTTTGCACTTTTAAAGTACAATCTTACTTTGAAATACTAATTAGAATAACAGACCCACATACATCTTTACTGTGATAAATTTTGAAATAAACATACTCTCATTAACAAAAGCTTGAGGGAGTATTAGTATTGTTCATGCAACTCTAAAAGGTGCTACATCTGCTTCAAGGTAATTAGAAAGAATTACTTCAATAACTTAGAAACGCATCCTTAACAATCCCAAGCTTGCTACTACTATGTTCAGTACTCTCAGATGCAGGTTCATTTCATTCTTTTGAATTGAAAGAAAATAATTCAAAATCACAATTTCTATGTCTTGTATTTTGGAACCCTTACTGTCTCAAAGATCATTGGAAGATGATTACTGTAATTTCACCATCTCTTGCAAAAATCTCAAATCCACACAGTTGGATGTCAAGTTTATTTTTCTTTTCAGGTGAAAACAGCATCTAAATTGGGCATCCAGGGAAAGCTTTAGAATGACATCAGAGGAACTCTGAGTGGCAACAGAATTGTCCTGGTGGCAGGATGTTTTGAGGACCAATAGATCCTAGCATAAAGCCATCTCAATGGAATTCCTCAACCTTGTAAGAATTGCAGTCTGACCTAGAGTCTGTGTCACTAAGTAGAACAGCTATACTCTAGACCTGCAGTACCAGGGCTTTGCCCATCCTCACCATACAGTGAATTTGTTTACACTTCATCCCCAGTATCCCAATGCCCAAGTCATAAAGTACTTCAGTGACAATTCTTAAATTGTTAAAAGGTGAGAATAATTGACAAGTCCAAAGATGGTTTATAGTATCTTTAAAGAACTGTAAGTCTACTATTCTTACACGACTGGATTATATTTTCAAAATGCATTTCTCAATCCAATAGCCCCTAAAGAGTTTTCCTGGCTTCTGTTCACTGCAGAATATACACATCTCTGTCAAAAAAGTCTTTCCACCCAATGGAATCTTATTCAGATAATAGAAATAGAAGTGAGGCAGGAGCCTGTGGAGGCTTCAGAAGAGCATGTACGAACTTATACGTAGGCCACCAAACAAAAGGCATGAAAGTTTGATCTCGAAGAGAAATTACTTCCTAGTTTGAGTAAGCCTCCATATCCAATTAATATGAGAATATTATATCCAATTACTTTGTAAATTATAAAATGCTATATAAATACAGCAAGGCAATCTATAGTAGTTTATAAAACTAATACCAACAATTCATTCCACTAATTCAAATTTCAATAAAAAGTGTCTGTTAATTTTAAAAACAAATTAACATGCAAATGATATACTACAGAGAAAAGCAATTGAAGAAATAAAGCATTATGGATTATGTGTATTAATTAAAAAATGAATTTGCAAAGATTGCATAATCTCTCAATGTCTGTAAGCTGCTCATGCTTCCAAGGACTTACATGCTTGACTGAAATAAACATTATTCATAATTTATATTGCCTGTCGTGTTACCCTCCAGGATAGATATTAATAATTCTTATGTTAGCCAGTCACATAATACTACTTAG